CAGCAAAAATAGAGGTTAATGTTCGTTTTTAAAACCCTGTTGTATCAAACGGACACCTGCGTTTCTGCTCAGATCATAAAATCAGTTACTTAGGGTGAAAGGAATCTGAAAATTTGATTACGAACCCGGAAGGAAGGTTTACTGGACCACCGTCCAAATTAACCCCAAAGCAAACGGAATAAAATCTTTTCAAGATGCCGCCTAACCTCTGGACATCAAATGACATGATAATCCATAATGAACACCATCCGAAAATGGAGGCAAAATACCATCTTTCAAACCACTTAGTCTGGCTGGCCTTACGCATCTCAATATGGTCCGGAGTACAGACATCCGCGAGAGTCTTGGCGTACAGCCGCTGCTTCTTCAGATTAAGAGGTCACAGCTGCGACGGTTTGGGCACGTGTTGCAAATGCTTCCAGAAAAGAAGGCTAAGCAACTGTTTCTTGCCAAACCGACCGGCAGAAGGCAAGATTAACCAGGTGCAAATATTTGGAAGGAGTCTGTTCCAGACTCCAGCTATCTTCTGCCGAAGCTCAGACTCTGGTGCAGGATCGGGAACGTTGAAAGCACTCTCTGACGCATCTGCCTCCGCGACCCGACAGGAAAAGGGGCCATAGAATATGTAATAGCTATTCTAATTAGTATGGTTACAGTAGGCGCGCGGTGTCAAAATATTAGCGTTAGTGAAACTATTTCTGTAAATTTTGCTTTTTTCCGTTTCTATAATCCTGAAGAACTCACCTTGGACAAAGGTGCATATACGATTCCAACATTCATGTTTAATTTTGCTTCCTCGCAACTTCGAATGAAGTTTATATTGCATTAACGTCGAAAACTGCTAACTCACAATCGGCAGACAACAGTTCACAAAGCGTTGCAAAAGAAACACCAGACGCGCTAGAATCTCCAAGATTTATTGATGCGTGCCTCTCAAATACTTGCAACCGAAGCAATTTCAAATTACGACTGCACAAGCAACGAGCTGTTGGTCAATCGATAACCGTGTCTAACTGCGAACTTTATCAGAAAAGAGCGAGTTGTCTGGTTGTCACTTGTAGGGGACGGGCGAGTTCTTCTCCTGCTCCCGCACTGCAAATCAGGAAAATCGGAAAAGAGTCGGCGCACCCCAGAACAGAACAACCAGTTTGGAAGCTGCTCGGAAGTCTGGCCAGGAGCTCTTTTCTGGCGTCAACATTTGTATAATGGACCTGACTTCTGCCATTCCATAAGCTGCATTCGCCCACCTGACAGCCAGAACTGTATCGACAAGCCTCGAACCGGCATCTCTTTTGAACTCGGAAGAATCGCCTCTGGCCATTGCTCACGAGTGATAGCTTCGCCTGCTTATTCACGTTCCAGGAATCGTCGACCACTGCGAATATTTCAAGCAACTGCGCACGTCAAGCAGGTCACAGAGTGACGGCAAGAGTAGAAGGAGAGAAAAAGAAATACTAGTACTTCGACCGTTAACCCCCCCCCCAACTCCTGGGATACACCACGACCCGGTAACACGGCAG